TTATTAACAACGATCGTTCATTAATAACCCTTACTATTAATCAAATATGAAACAACACCTTATATCGATTTAATAGTAGCATTTAATCTTTCTAAACTCCTTGATGAAATCAATTGAGATTGATAACCTCAACACAACGGTTTCGGTTTAACCAACAAAATTAATCCCTCTTAAGTTTATTAACCACGACCGTGCATTAATAAACCGAAGTTACTTACTTGTGAAACCATCAACGATTAACCATCGGTTCGTTGATCGTTTCTAGTAATAATTAATATATGAAACAAAACTAGTTGATCCTTTAAGTAATGTTCAAAATATTAACATGAATTATGATGAGTAGGAATTAATTAATATTCAAGGAAGAATATTATTAAAGAAGATGAATCCTACTATAATTAATATCAAGATGTTAACTAATTGTCATCTTAGCAATACTCCCCAACATTGATATGGTATGCAATTATTTCTTTGGTAACTTTTTCTTTGTTAACTCTGTCTTCAATTTATTTTCTCTCTAAAAACAAAGAGTGGCCTAAACAAGAGGTCAAAGCGGTGGCCATGACTTTTCTGAATTAGCAATAACATTTAATATTATGTCTTCAAAGCTCAGGGTAATATACTGTTGAATGTATTATGTATGTTTTCTTTTACAAAACACTATTTCATCTGTTTTTAGTTCTTAGTACAATGAAAATGTTTGTTCATTTCCTTTTATATATATTTTAACAAATTAGAATAAAAAATGGACTTCAAGGACATTTGTGTGGTGAGATAGTTTGTTTTATTCCTGATGCCATGAGCGCTGTTTTTTAGTCATTAGAGATATTTTGTGTTATAGAAATGGATTCAACTTGGTTGATTTGTAATCTGTTGTTGTTTTGAATTGCTACGTAGGTCTCGAGAGAAACAAATAGAATGCATGTGTTAGGTATAATACCAAGTATGTAATACAAAGTAGAAAGAAATAGAATCTGCAAGTACCCTTAAAGGAGTCTGAAATTGGGGCTGCCAGACTTGAGAAAACACTATTTTTTTAGTATTTTGCCTCTATTTTCAGTTGCAAAAACTGGAATTAGTGTTTGTCTTTAAAGCATTTTTTTATTCATTAATTTCAATTTTAATGAAACATGTTTATGTTACTTTTTTGTATGTGCAGAAACTCCTCACTTTTATGGGGATGCCTTCTTGAAGCTGAAAGTGTACAATTCAAACTCAATCATCTTAAGTTCAAATTGGGATATCTAATGGAACAAAAGCTGCAATGTCCAAGCTTCATTCCCACAATATGATTCTCGCTCTCAAGGCTCTCAAGCCTTGCATTAACACTTTTTATCCCATTAGACATGTTGTTTTAGCTTTAAAATATTTTGTACTCATTTTAAACAATTTTACTTTGGTGTATGTATTTTTTGGAATATTTTTGTGGTGCACTACATTTTAATGTGGGTTATTATGATATATTCCGTATTTGTTAATTGTTTTTCTTTATTTCATTATTGTATATTTAAGAGTTCAAAATTAAAATTTATATGCTTTGATTTTGTAATTATAAGGAACCAATATCTTCAGATTAAAAAATTGTATTAACAGAAACAATAATATTAAAAAAAAATGTGATTTTTTTTTAAATAGAAAATAATTAGTGGCAGAATTTAGCGACAGGTATTCTGTCACAAAACATAGTGGCTGATATATCCGCCGCTAACTTCCGTCTTTAATCTGTGACGGAAATAATATTCCGCCACTAAACATAATAGCTTCCAGATTTTAGTGACGGATGATCTGCCACAAATATCTGCCACTAAGCCATTTTGTGGCGGAATTAGTGACGGATTTTCCGCCAGTAAATTCCGTGAATTCTTGTAGTGTAATGGTTAATAAATTGTTTTCCAAAAAAATGATTAAAGATAAAATTAAAGATTAGAGAATGATTTATTTACTATACAATTGAAGATTAGAGAATATTTTATTTATTGTGTGTACATGTAAGAAATAGTCAAAAAAATAAATTGAATTTTGAAATACTAGAATCTTTAACAATCATTAATAAATTTATAAAATTGCACTAAAAAAGTTTAAATTTTAAGTTATATAAGGTTTATTTTATTCCTATAATTTATAAGTTAACGATAGGTCGAGTCCAGATTGAATCCAACATCACTAATTAAGCTCAAACTCAGCTTGAATAACTATTCGATCTGAAAATCTAACCCATTTTCGACTTCGAAGCTTGTTAAGCTTGAATCATTAAATTAAATTTGAAAACATGCTCAAACTCGAGTAGTTCGAAAAAAGCTCAGTTCGATAACTAACCTAAACTAAACATTTTGTGTGCAGTAACAATTTTTTTTACTGCTTAGCCCACCCCACCATCCATTCTTGGATCCGCCCCTACTAGTAGCTAGTGCCTGTGTCGCGCAAAATTTTTCCCGGTATATTTGGACCGCAGTTTAAAAAAAAGAGAATAAAGTTAAAATATATGATTATGGTTGAGTATAAAAAGGTAAATGAATGGTAGCCATACAAAACTATCCACATATGAAGAATTTTTTGTAACGTCCCAAAAAGGAAAGCGAGAAGAATTGTAAAGACAGAGGGAGTATATAATCTCGAGCTATTCACGTCAGGTTGACTTTTTAGGTGGAACCCCAGAAATTCACAATTACATTTTTACTTAGGGGGAGCAACAGGGGCGACCGCCCTAGGCCCCAAAAAATAGAATAAAAAATAGGCCTAAAACTTTTTCTTTATATATAGTGTGAGTAGGCTTCTTTTGTTTATTCTTAAATTCAATTAATTAGGCCTAATGATTAATTCTGTTGACAATTTGAAAATTTAAAACATAAATAAAGAGTCTTAAACAGAGCCAAGTTTAAAAACGAATATATACATTAATTTTTAGCCGGATCGGTTGCAGTTTTTAAAAGCAATGCAACTGTTGCTGCGGCATAAATAAAAGAATCAAATTAGAGTACGTCAAATTTTAGAGGACGTCAAATTTGCAATCTTCTTGCGCGGGTACTCCTGGGAGTCAAACATTTGTCTCTTTGAAAACCTTCATTGTTTCGAGACTTCAAACTTTAGACTCTCATCAGCGGTAAATAAATCATTCTCAAGTTATGAGTTCAATATATGGTAATATTTTTTTTCATTTGTCCTTTCAAAAGAAAATTTAGTATTGTTATATGTGGCAATTTTATTGTTTATCATATTTATTAGTGGAAAGAAGCATGCCTATGAAGCAATTATTGATGATTTGCTTCACATTGTTCTACGAGAAATGTTTTTAAGTTATGTTTTTTCTTTTTATTCGATACTCGTGTTGTTACTTTTGCCCAAATATGTAACTTAAATAATAATAAAGTGATTATCGCCTTTATTTTATGAACTTAATTGCCCAAATATGGTTTACTGTTTGTCATGGATATAAGTCCAAAATAGCGTACCGCCCACACGCCCAGAAATGGACAGGACCGGCCATGCATGCGTTGATGCATACACACACAGTTCTTTTAAAAAACCAGTTAGGGGTGGGCATAACGGTTCGGTTTGACTGAACTGAACCGTACCAAACCGAATTAAACCAAACTGAAACCGAACCATTTGTAATTTGGTTTGAGTTTGGTAGTATTCCTCCCAACCCGTATTAAATCGAACGAAACCGAACCGAAATCATAAAACCGAATAAAACCGAACTAATCTAAAAATGAAATAGTTTCTTATTTTTAAAAAATAAGAAATCAAAACCATCTTACACCAAACTAAACCAAATCAAAATATAAGATTTCTCTGATTAATTTGATTGATGTTAATCTTTTTGAAGCTTTATTTCTTTAATTTTAGTATCTAGGACTAAAGTTTACTACAAGAGTTACATTCACAACTATAACCATTACAGTGGTTTAAGTAGATAGAAATGTGCAGAACCACAATTTTGTGTGATTGAGATTTGTGAGAGGAGATAGAAATGTGCAGAACCACAAATTAGTTGTTATAATAGGAAAGTTGCAAAGTTTTTTGAGACGACCAAAAAAGGAAAGTTGGCAAAGTCCAATGGGACGGAGGGAGTATTTGATTCATTACTTACAAACACCAGTTTTGTTTTTGTTTCGGCTTTATATATAATTTGATTCATTCACGTTGTTGTTGGTGCTTACAAATGTGTCATGCTTATATATGTTTGGTACATATGTGTTTTGTTACTGTTTGCAAATTTATATCGAACATTGTATTTGGTTCATTACTATCATTTCTTGGTTCATTGTTTTGAGTTATTTTTTTTTATTTCGATCCAAACCTTAATACTTTGGTAAACCGAACTCCAAACCGAACCGAACCATACCAAACTGAAACCAAACCGAAACTTAATCGGTTTGTATTTGGTACATTTTCTATCAAACCGATTAAACCGAAACCGAACCAAAACCGAACCAAAACCGAAGAAAACTGAACCGAAAACCAAAATGTCCACCCCTAAAACCAGTTATAGTCTGTAATTTTCTGTGTATTCATTACTAAATCTAGTAGTCTTAAGATGCTTAAATGAAATACTGATTATTGTGAAAAAACACCTTAATGAGACCTATGTCAATAATTTGGCAGATTGAGTCCCATTTTCGAATTTTTAATGTGAAATAGTTGCATGGTTTAACTTGTTTACAAAAAATTGTCATCTCTTAAATACAAAGACCATTATAGTAAATCTAGTTATGGTAAATTATGTTAATTTTTAGACTAAAATGATCATGACACTATACTTTATAATAACTTTTGTCATATTTTTATAAATATTAAAGTAAATTTTGTTTCAGTAATATGTTCAAAAAAGACAAACATTCCAAATATTTTTTGTCCTGCACTATCAATTTATTTGGCATCTAATCATGGCACCAAGAATGCTGTAACAAGAATAGTTGGATAGTGGCTTGTGCCGAGGCTTCCATTTCAATGCCTGTAACAATCATTACGGTTGTTAATAAAAGCGCCAAGTACGGATGTGAAACTTCTTGTAGGTAAATAAAACTGATATTGCAATGTTAAAAAACCAGATATCCCGCAGGAGACTTTGAAATGGATGCTTCCTTTTCTAAAGCTTTTCTGTTAATTTCTCCTCTTATTATTAGCCTCAAATGGCTCCATTCTTAACCAGTTCCGAGCAATCATTAGTTTTGGGGACTCACTTGCCGACACCGGAAATTTAGTCCGTCTGGAAGGCGGGATAATCCCATCCGACATCCCGCCTTACTGCAAAACCTACTTTCACCACCCCACCGGTCGCTTCTCCGATGGACGTCTCATCATTGATTTTATAGGTACCTAAAATATATTTTTTGCAATTTACGGTTAATAAAGTTGACTAACTTAAAAATTAAATAAATCAATATACTCAGAAACTACATTTAAAGTTTTATAGAATATAAAGTACTCCTTACTTAGTAAAGTCCAAATTTTGTGACACAGTAAGTCACTAATGGATAGTTTTGGTTGTATATGCTGCAGCTCAGAGCATGGGATTGCCGCTTCTACCGCCGTACGTGGCAGTGGAATACCGTCACAGCAGCGAACATTTCAATGGAAGCGTGAATTTTGCGGTGGCCGGATGCACGGCGTTAGATGTTTCATATTTTTCGCAAAGAGGGTTCGATAATCCGGTCTCTAATGTCTCATTAGGGACCCAACTGAAATGGTTCAAGCAAATGCTTCCATCTTTGTGCACAACTCGAACAAGTAAGTTCCCCAGACTGGTGCAAATGCACAAAAATACTCGTGAATTATAAATGAAGATTATACTCCGTCCGTCCTTGAACTTCTTGCATTCCTTTTGAATATGCTTGAATATGTTGAAAATTAAACTTGTTTTTGGGTCTAATTAATATTTAGTTTTAGTTGTTGTCGGGAAGACCAAGTCATAGAAAAATGTAGAAGGAATAAATTTTAGAGCTTCTCTAGAAGATATGGTCTCTAGAACTCTCCTATCATTAAATGTATAGAATTGTCTAGAATTCATTAATTATAGAAGAGTCTAGACATTTTGTACTAGTATAAATAGAGCTCCCCTACCACCACTTTGTATCAAGCAAATCAAGCAAATTGAGTTGTTCTAATAAAAAGAGTTCTTCCCATTTGTTCAAATATCTCTTCCATAATATTTCTAATTTAGCCTCTCAATTTCCCAAATCTTCCTTCACTTATTTACAACAGTGGTATCAGAGCCGTTCGGTCATCACCCTAAAATGGCCGGTTCTCTTCAAGTTACTCCATTAAAAAAGGAGAATTATGATAATTCGAGCATTCACATGAAGGCAATACTTGGTTCGGAAGATGTGTGGGACATGGTAGAGGAAGGCTTCGAGGAACCCGAAGACATCAACGCCTTAAATCAAAATCAAAAGAATGCCTTGAGGAGTACTAAGAAGAAAGATCAAAAGGCGCTCTCTATCATTCATCAAGCTTTGGATGAAGTCATGTTCGCAAAGGTGGCAAGTGCAACTACAAGCAAAGAAGCTTGGGAGATATTAGAGAATTCATTCAAAGGAGTAGATAAGGTGAAAAAAGTAAAACTTCAAAGTCTTCGAGGTGAGTTTGAATCTTTAAACATGAACTCTTCGAAATCTATTGACGACTATTTTTCAAGAGTTCAAACCGTCGTGTGGTTGAAAAAATTCTACGGTCTTTAGATTCAAAATTCGATTACATAGTTGTGGCAATAGAAGAATATAAAGATCTAGAAACAATGACGGTTGATAATCTCTTGGGATCTCTTCAAGCTCATGAAGAAAAACTCAAGAAGAGAATAAAGCAAGAGCCATTGGAGCAAGCCCTTCAAACCAAGCTCACCTTAAAAAATAAAGAGATTTTTCAAGAGGGAAGAAGTCAAAGTTCAAGAGGGCGCGGTCGAAGCCAAGACTATGGAAGAGGAGGTTATAAAACTTTCAACAAAGAAGAGAGAAGTCCACATTTCTATCAATCAAGAGGCCGTGGAAGAGGAGGTTTTTCAAGACCAAGGTATGATAAGTATCAAGTTCAATGTTATAATTGTCAAAAATTTGGTCACTTTGCCTCCGATTGTAGATTGGCAAAAAATAAAGTTGAGGAGCGAACAAATCTTGCCAAAGAAGAAGAAGAAAATTCAACATTGTTGATGGCCCATAAAGGAGGAGAAAGTGACCCCAAAACGACATGGTACTTAAATACGAGAGCAAGCAACCACATGTACGGGAAGAAAGATATGTTTGTCGAGCTTGATGAATCGGTAAGCGGAAATATCTACTTTGGAGATGAATCAAAAATCCCGGTAAAAGGAAAGGGGAAAATTTTAATCCGGTTAAAAAATGGAAAAAATGATTTCATCTCTAACGTCTACTATGTGCCCAACATGAAATCAAACATTTTAAGTTTGGGGCAACTTTTTGAAAAGAGATATGACATTCATATGAAAGATCACACCCTTTTGATGAGAGATAAAAATGGGGGTTTGGTTGCTAAAGAACAAATGTCAAGAAATAGAATGTTTTCATTAAACATTGATAATGGGGGTCCAAAATGTTTGAAAGCATGTTTTAAAAATTCATCTTGGATTTGGCACTTGAGGTTTGGGCATTGATGTGCACTTTGTCGTTAGGTGCACTCGAAATAAATACAATACAACACTAATACGTAGTATAGTGTAGTAAGGTTCGTATCCACAGGGAAAGGAATACTTTTCTTTTATATAAATAGTAACAAGGAGGGATTTAGATTTGTTTGATTTAAAAACACTAAGATAAACAACCTATATGAGTTTAATTCAATGAGATGAGGACTTGGTTTTGCTTTTATCCACTTAATGAAATGTTCGTCGATCCCGGTTATATCTTTAACTATCTTCCTCTCGAATAATACTCAATCGAGGAGTATATCCAGTTCATCGAGGGTAGTTATTAATAACGAGATGCGTTCATTAATAAAACTTACTATCGAGTCAATATAGAACAAGCGCCATATATTAACTTGATAGTAGCAATAAACTTAAGATGAAAACGATTGAGATTGATAACCTCAACACAAGCGGTTTATTGGTTCAATCAATATAATTAATTCCCCTTGGCATATTAACCATGAGATGCATGCATTAATATTCCAAGTTTACTACCGTTGAAAGAATCGGATTAATAACAAGCGTATTAACCGATTGATTCTAGTAATAATTAATATGAGAAACAAAACTAGTTGATACTTTAAGTAATGTTCAAAATATTAATATGAAATATGAATAGGAATTAATTAATATTCAAGTAAGAATATTAAAGAATGTGAATCCTAATATGATTAATATCAAGATGTTAACTAATTGTCATCTTAGTAACACTCCTCAATATTAACATAGAGGAAGAAATAGCTATTACTATAACCAATGTCAAGATGTTAACTAATTGTCATCTTAGTAACACTCCCCAACTTTGATATAGAGATAGTATTTTAAAGGAAAAATTAATATTCAAGGAAGAAGATTAAAGAAAATAACTCACAACTTACAAATTCATTAAGCTTCAAAGTAGCAAAACCAAGATGGAAGGGTTTAGCTCCTCATTTGGAGACTAAACATGCTAAAAATATAAAAGAAATACTTAACTAAACTGAGCTAAAGAGTATATGTGAATTGGTGATTTTATTGTGAAGGAAAGAGGAGTATTTATAGGCTTTTGGGAGCTGCAGGGGCTGATACCCGACCGGGTATATAGGATACCCGACCGGGTATCTTAGGAAATTTCCTAGAAATTCACTTTTCTGGGCATACCCGATCGGGTATGTCGGCATACCCGATCGGGTATGTGACAAATCTTAATGAAATCTTGCTCCCACGATCATTTGTTCCCGGATTTGATTTGGACAATCGAATCAAGCAAATACCCGATCGGGTATAGGCAATACCCGACCGGGTACATGAGTATTTTTTCCAAATCGAAATCTTTCTTGCCTCCTTGCACTTTCCTTGATCTTTTAAGGTCCAATCTTGATCCCTTGGATGATCTTTGACCTGTTTAGCTCAGAAAAGTCCTAATCTAAACAAATTACAAATAAATATGAAAATAAAGTATTACACCAAAAGTGTGTAATTTCCTCAACTAGAACTAATAAAAACTAGTTAAAAATACAAACATACAATCGGAAATTACATGAATATCAGGCATCTTAATTTTGGAGGTTTAAAATTGTTGAGTGATAAAGGTATGGTGAAAGGTTTGCCCAAAATCAATGAAGCTAATCAATTGTGTGAAGGATGTTTATTTGGAAAGCAACCAAGAAAAAGTTTTCCAAAGCAAGCATCTACAAGAGCAAAACAACCATTAGAGCTTGTACACATGGATATATGTGGGCCAATTAAACCAAGCTCTCTCGGAAAAAGTAATTATTTTGCTCTTTTCAATGATGATTTTAGTCGGAAAACTTGGGTTTATTTTCTAAAACATAAATCCGACGTTTTTGGGGCCTTCAAGAAATTTAAAGCTCATGTTGAAAATGAAAGCGGGTTTAAAATAAAATCCATGAGATCCGATCGTGGGGGGGAATTCACTTCAAAAGACTTTGAAAAATTTTGTGAAGAAAATGGTATTCATCGCCCCTTAACGGCTCCATATACTCCACAACAAAATGGAGTTGTTGAAAGGAAAAATCGATCCCTTCTTAATATGGTTCGAAGCATGCTTAAAATCAAAATTGTTCCAAGGGAATTTTGGGCCGAAGTCGTGGATTGTGCGGTTTATTTGTCAAACCGATCTCCTTCTAGAAGTGTTTGGAACAAAACCCCCTAAGAACCATGGAGTGGAAGAAAGCTCGGAATTGCCCACTTGAAAGTTTTTGGGAGTATTGCTTACGCTCATGTGCCGGATCAAAAAAGATGCAAATTGAATGACAAAAGTGAGAAGTTTATCTTTATTGGATACGATGCAAGAGCAAAGGGGTACAAGTTATACAATCCAAGCAATGGAAAAATTGTGGTTAGCCGCGATGTTGAGTTTGATGAAGAGAACACTTGGGATTGGACTCAAAAGGAAGAAGACTACAATTTCTTGCCTTACTACAATGAAGAAGAAGATGAGCAAGAGCTAGCTCACGAAGAGCCCACGAGTCCAACTCCACCATCACCCGAGCAAGAAGGATCCACAAGTGAAGACAACTCAAATGAAAGGCTGCCTCGCTTAAGGAGCATACAAGAGCTATATGAGGTAACTGAAAATATAAATCATCTAACATTATTTTGTCTTCTTGCCGATTGTGAACCAATAGGTTTTGAAGAAGCGACTAACGACAAGAATTGGAGGGAAACCATGGATGAAGAAATGAAGGCCATCATAAAAAATGATACGTGGGAGTTGGCCACTTTACCCAAAGGACACAAAGCAATTGGTGCAAAATGGATGTTTAAAGAAAAGAAGAATGTCATGGGGGAAGTTGAAAGGTACAAAGCAAGGTTGGTTGCAAAAGGGTACAACTAAAGAGTCGGTATCGACTATGAAGAGGTATTTGCTCCCGTTGCCCGCTTGGAAACAATAAGATTTTTAATTTCTTTGGCGGCTCAAAATAAATGGAAATTTTTTCAAATGGATGTGAAGTACGCATTTTTAAATGGAAAGTTAGAAGAAGAAGTTTATTTAGAACAACCACCGGGATATAAAATAAAAGGGCATGAAGATAAAGTTCTAAAGTTGAAAAAGGCACTTTATGGTTTGAAGCAAGCCCGAAGAGCT